CTGGTTCTCAGCTGACTTGAGACAAGAAGAAAAGGAAGAGACAGACCAGGTAGAGACAGTGAACCTGGATCATGACATTTCCCATGATATAGAAAAGGCTTCCAACAGCCTTGGGTGGCCATAGGTATTCAGAAACATGGTTCAAGGACGGAAATCAGAGCCTGGCAAGAGAGATAAGAGATTAATCCAAAATTTGGAGGTCTGATAGCGACCTCCTGTGCCTGGGGTAGAGAGGTATAGGAGTCTGGCAGGACCACCTTGAGAGCAGCGATGGGCAGCGGCTCAGACATAAAAGTGCCATGGCTTAGACAGGAATCGAACAAAGCTCACTGAATCATGGAATGTCTTATTTCAAACTCAATCCTAGAGCCTTGATGGAAACTGTCTGAGTACATGGTCCACTCTGCGGGTTAAATCTCTTAGTCTACACAGGGTGTGTGCAAACAAAGATTATGGACCCTACCTGGGGAACCGGGTGGAGTTTCATCCCCTTTGGAATGGGAGCATTCACAGGCTACATCCAGAGCAGAGCCGAATTCCTGTTTATCCGATGGGAACGTGCCATCCCTGTAAGGCTGGTAGCAGCCACGCCCTTCTTGGCCAATGGAAGGAGTCAAAACACATTCATTCAGCGTGTCCTAGAGGACGTCCTTCTTTTCAGCTTCCGGAAGCTCCATGCTGTGCCAGGTGGGGCAAGAACGACAGAAGAGAAAACCTGGAGGATCAGACACCATGGCTTGCTACCTAGCTGGTGTTGATGGGAGGCAAGGGAGTGGTCGCAGAAAGGAAAGGGACCATAGCCTTGAGGGAGAAAAGGTTATCCTACAAGAGGCAGAGTGTGGCCAGGAAGGGTGGGAGAGAAGCAACAACAGATAGACACGCAGTCCACTGGCCACATAACGAGCAATGAGGAATGAGACTCGACCATCCCAGTATGGTACAGTCACGAGACGAAGGACAAATGGGAGTCCATGCCAGGGGCAACCGCCACGTGCCTGAGTCATGTTGAATTTAACATAGACTGATCAAGCGGTTACAGCTCTTGAGTCACTGTGCCCTGCAGAAACTTGTGCCCTCCAGGCACTTTTCTATTCATAGTGTCACATGACACCCCAACTTTTTGGTTTTGGTTAGGTAATTCCGTGTTAATTTTGCCAGCTGTCTGTCTATCGGTTCCTTTGCTGGTTACCTTCCTACCAGGGACCTTTGAGAACTGTGTAGAGATGCGTCTCCTCCTGGTGTTCATTTACAGGCGAGAACGGGTATTTTGTGCGTACGGGGAATCCTAAGGCTGCTGAGTTCATCTGGGGCTCCCCCAGACAAGCAGCCCCACGACAGCAGACAACCGAGGGAACAGGGCCATTTGCCGCTGAGGGAATTCAATCACTACCATCTGCAGCTCTGCTGATCCCTGCATCTGCCACCTGGACTCTTGTGACCTCACCTACTGTTCTTTCTGAGTCCCTATCCTTTTTCACCCGCACATTACCGGGTCGCCAGTATTCCTTGTTACCTGGCGGTGAGGGATTCTTCTGCTGGTTCATCCTCGTCCTCCTCCTCCTCCTCCTCATCTTCTGCAAAGAAATTCAGAAATCTCCCGTGAGCGAGCTCCCACATCACCACTATAAACACAGTGGCTTATATGCCCTAGCGACATAATTATCTATGCATGACTAACTCTTGTTCTGAAGCTCCAGGGCACTGCCCTTGAGAACTGTTGCGGTATGGATTTCAGATCCAGCAGGGAGTGTCTCTGATTCGGAGGCTCACCATGACTGAGACTGGGCAAAAGTTTAAACTATCTCTTGCCCAGATCCGTGGATGCCTGTCCAGTTTCGATCCGACTTCTGCAAACAGTGTCTTGCAGGCGCCACAGTCATGCCACAGGCGCAGGCCCTGTGTGCTCCCAGTGCTCACGTAGAGTCTCCTCCTTGCCCCGAGGACAGCAAAATCACCCGGTCCCAAGTCCCTCCACATGTGGACTCATGGGTCCCCAAGTGGACATCAGTGTTATGGACGGGCCGTCTGTATGAAAAGTGTTTCAGTCTGAACGACGTTCCACCTCCAAGGCCTACTACGTCCAATACCTCATTCAACTCCACACAGTCAGGGACTTTATTTTTCCTGAAGTGCAGTCGTGAACTTTCCGCATGTGATCACCACAGCTATGACAGGTTACTTGATAGACAGATGAGGAGACAGTTATGGAGAAAGCGAAGATCACTCTCTCGCCCACAGTTCATAAAGACAGCTCCTGGGCGGGAGCCTGGAACTGCCCGCTTAGCTCAGGGCTCCCTGCACTCGAACAAGCTGCCTCCTTCCTCGTCCTCCCTTCTGGGCTCTGACACTGGTGGAGGCTGCCTCCTGCCCTAAAGGCAGTTCCCTCGGGGAGGACACAGATGGGTGGAGCACCGTGACCTCCACCCTGTGCACTTCTCCTCTCCTTTTCCACCTGCTAGTCCGGGTCCTCTGGTGGCCCCATGTGTCACATGGAAACCAAGACAGCGGCTGCCAACAATGTGAGGGGAGGCGAGAGATGTCTGGGGAGCCCAGGACCTCGGAGCAGCTCAGTGCACTCAGGGCCTGTGGCCGCCTTACCGGGGCTAAGCCGGCGGGCAAGGCGTTCTGCCAGCCTGCGTCCCTCGGCCACTTGTTCCTGGAAGCCCTGGCCTTGGGAACACTCGGGGTCATCGTGAGTGAGGAGGTCCCTGAGGTGCTGATCGAGTGGCTCAGAAACTTCTCTCCCTTCCCGTAACTTCTGCCACAACTGGGTCAGCTCTTCAGCCTGAGCTTTAATCAGGATATGATATTGCCTAAGGTGGGACATAGACAAAATTTTAAAACACAGAGTTGAATAGATTCTCTAAGAGCTTTCATGGACGTTTCTGGGAGAATTTCCGCAAGGAGCCCTCAAGGCCACTTTCTGGCACGTGTGTGAGGCCCTGCCCGTGACACAGAAAGAAGAAGGTAAAATACGGCTCCTCTGTGTCGGGGAGTCACCTTGACCTCCTTTGCAGCTCCTTCTTCTGTAAACAAAGCCAGGTGTCTTCCTCAACACCCGTCAGAGACATGTCCCTTCAGCCCCTCGCTGCGGCACAGCCATTTCCTGTGAACCTACACGGTGTGCATCATGCTGTGCATGGACCCAGCGCCAGCCACAGAAATCTGGACAGGACAGCTGGTGTGGACTACACAGGTCAGGAGAATGGCAGGGTCAAGAGGACAACATTGTCTGAAGGAAAACATGACCGACAAGCTGTCATCCCTCAGGAGGTGACTGTGTTACAGGCAAATGAGGTGGTGATCCCACAACATTGTGAATGTGGCCAATGCCACAAATTGTTCGCTTGAATTTGGTGACTTTCAGCTCAATAAATGATATTTATTTGACACAGAGTGAATGATACATGGAAGCCAATGAAAATGAAACACGACAGTCCAACACCTCTGGGATGCAGCAAGGGCGATCATAAGAGGGAAGCATATAGCAATCCAGGCCTTCGTAAAAGAGGAAGAAAAGTCTCAAATACACAACCTAACTTTACACCTAGAGGAGCTGGAAAAAGAACAGCAAATGAAGCCCAAAACCAGCAGAAGAAGGGAAATAATAAAGATGAGATCAGAAGTCAATGATATGGAAATAAAATAAAACAGAACACATCAATGAAACCAAGAGCTGCTTCTTTGAATGAATTAACATTATCGGTAAGTCCCTAGCCAGCTTTATCAAAAGAAAAAGGAAAGGGCCCAAATAAATAAACTCAGGAGTGAAAGTGAAGCGACCACAACCAACACTGCAGAAATACACACAAAAAAAGAAGACATTATGATGAGCAATTATTTGCCAACAAATGGGGCAATCTGGAAGAAAAGGACAAATCCCTAGAAACATATAAACTCCCCAAACTGGAATAGGAAGAAACAGGAAATTTGAACAGATACATAACAAGTTGAGAAATTGAATCAGCAATAAAAAAACTCCCAACAAACAAGAGTCCAGGGCCAGATGGCTCCCCAGGGGAATTGCACCCGACATTAAAGAAGGGTCCGTACCTATTCTTCTGAAGCTGTTTGAAATAGAAATGGGGGGAAAACTTCCAAACTCATTCTACAAGGCCAGCATTAACTTGACCCCAAAAGCATCCAAAACCCCACTAAAAAGGAGACTTGCAGACCAATCTCTCTGATGAACACGGATGCAAAATTTCTCTACAAGATACTAGCCACCCACACCCAACAATATATCAAAAGAATTATTCACGGGGTGCCTGGGTGGCTCAGTTGGTTGAGCGTCCGACTTCGGCTCAGGTCATGATCTCAAGGTTCGTGAGTTTGGGCCCCCATTGGGCTCTGTGCAGACAGTCCAGAGCCTGGAGCCTGCTTCAGATTCTGGGTCTCCCTCTCTCTCTCCCCTCCCCCACCTGGGGCCTGTCTCCCTCTGCCTCTCAAAAATGAAGAAAAAATTAAAAAAAAAAAAAAAAACAACAAAGAATTATTCACCACAATCGGGGGGGGGGGGGATTTATTCCTAGGCTGCAAGTTTGTGTTAATATCTGCGCATCAACCAACCTGATACATCACATGAATAAAAGAATGGATAAGAACCACATGATCCTCTCAATCGATGCAGAAAAAGGTTTTGACAAAATCCAGATCCTTTCTTGAGAAAACCCTCAAGAAAGTAGGGATAGAAGGAACATACCTCAAGATCATATATACCGATTACAAAAGACCCACAGCTAATATCACCTCAGTGGGGAAAACCTGAGGTCCCTAAGGTCAGGAACACGACAGAAGGTCCACTCTCACCACTGTTGTTGAACATAGTGTTGGAAGTCCTAGCCTCAGCAACCAGACAGCAAAAGAAATAAAAGGCATCCAAATCAGCAAGGAAAAAGTCAAACTTTCACTCTTTGTAGACAACATGATACTCCACATGGAAAACCGGAAAGACTCCCCAAAAAACTGCTGGAACTGTTGCATGGATTCAGCAAATTCGCTGGAATATGGTCACCATACAGAAATTGCTTGCATTTCTGTATACCGATAATGAAGCAGCAGAAAGAGAAATCAAGGAACTGATTCCATTTACTAGGGTACTGAAAACAACAAAATACATGGGAATGAACCTACCAAAGAGGTAAAAGATTTGCTGTAACTATAAAAAGCTGTAAACTATAGAAAACTTATGAAAGAAATTGAAGATACACACACAAAAATGGAAAAACATTACATGCTCCTGGATCTGAGGAACAAATATTGTTAAAATGTCATCACTGGGGCGCCTGGGAGGCTCAGTCGGTTAAGCATCTGACTTCAGCCCAGGTCATGGTCCCACGCTTCATGGGTTCGAGCCCCACGTCGGGCTCTGTGCTGACCGCTCAGAGTCTGGAGCCTGCTTCAAATTCTGGATCGCTCTCTCTCTCTCTCTGTCCCTCCCCTGTTTGTACTCTGTCTCTCTGTCTCCCAAGATAAAAGAAATACTAAAAAAAAAAAAATGTTTTTAATCTCAATACTACCCAAAGCAATCTACAGACTCAATGCAATCCCTATCAAAAGAACACCAGCATTCTTCACGGAGCTAGAACAAGTAATCCTAACATTTCTGGACTTCAAGCCACATTATGAAGCTGTAATCATCAAGACACTATGGTATCAGCACAAATACAGACACATAGAACAAGGGGACAGAAGACAGAACTCAGAAATGGACCCACAAATGTATGGCCAAATAAGCTTCGACAACACATGAAAGATTATCCAATGGAAAAAAGACGGTCTCTTCGGCAAATGGGGTTGGCAAAACTGGACAGAGACGTGTGGAAGAATGAACCTGGAGAACGTTCTTGCACCGTACACAAAAAGAAACTCAAAATGGATGAAAGACTTAAATGTAGGACAGGACACCATCAAAATCCTGGAGGAGAAGACAGGTGGCAACCTCTTTGACCTCGGCCGCAGCAACCTCTTACTACACATGTCTCCTGAGGCAAACGTGAACCACTGGGATCTCATCAAGATAAAAAGCTTCAACAAACAACAAGCTCAAAGGCAATCGAAGCAATGGGAGAAAATATTTACAAACAACATATCGGATAAAGAGCTAGTATTCAAAATCTACGAAACAACCTTGATCAAACTCAAAACTCAACACCCAAAAAGCAAATGATTCCGTGAAGAAATGGGCAAGAGACAGAAACAGACACTTCTCCAAAGAAGACATCCAGATGGTAACAGACACATGAAAACTTGCTCAACGTCATTCATCATCAGGGAAAAGGAAAGTAAAACCACAATGAGATACCACTCCTATCTGTCAGAATGGCTAAAACGAATAACAGATGGTGAGGATGCAGAGAAAGGGGACCACTTTGGCACTTTTGCTGGTAGAAATGCAAACTGGTGCAGCCACTCTGGAAAACAGTGCGGAGGTTCCTCAAACAATTAAGAGAAGAGCTACCCTACAACCCGGCAATGGCACTACTAGGTAGTTATCCAAAGGATTCAAAAATGCTGATGCGAAGGGGCACCTGCGCCCCAATGTTATAGTACTGTTATCAACAATAGCCAAAGGATGGAAAGAGCCCAGATGTCCATCGACGGATGAATGGATTGAGAAGACATGGTACATGAATTGATACAACGGAACGTTACTTGGTGATGAAAAAGAATGGATCTGCCCTTTGCAACACTGTGGATGGAACTAGAGTGTATTATGCTAAGCCGAATAAGTCAATCAGAGAAAGACAAAGATCACATGATTTCACTCATATGTGGAATTTAAGACACAAACCAGATGCACCAGGGGAAAGGAAGGAAAATTAAGATAAAAACAGAGACAGAAGCAAACCATTAGAGACGTTTACATGCAAAGAATAACCTGAGACTTGCTGGAGGGGTTTTGGGTGGGAGATGGGCTAAATGGGAGATGGGCATTAGGGGGGCAGTTTTCGGGATGAGCACCGGGTGTCACTTGTAAGAGGTGATACCCTAAAATCTCCTCCGGAAACCATTTATACACTATATGCGAACTCGTTTGGATTTAAATAAATTAAAAAAAAAAAAATACAAACATTGAGCGAGGCCCCGAATAATTGGAGCCCGCAATACACCAGATACTGCTGTCTTCACTGTTTGACAGATGTGTGTGTGCACCTGTGTGCCAGGCAAGTTTCTGCCCTTCTCCTGGCCCAGACCTGTCGCTGACAGGAGTCAGAGATGCCTACGGCCTCCCAGCAGCCACGGAGCCCTCCTTACCTGAGCTTCTCGGTCAAGGTCTCTGCCAACTTCCCCTGCTTACACTGCAGCGTCTCCCCCAGCACGGATTCGATGATGTCTTTCAACTCTTCACACTCTGAGAACACAGACACCGGCCTCAGTGGACAAGCTACACGGGCCGCTGTGCTCGCTGCCTCCAGGGAGGGGGCGGGGTGTACCCCAGGACAACGTAACCCCAGCATCGGGCTCTGCGCCTCTCATTCCTCAGCCCCCCCAGCTACACGGTATTTGATACCTCCCTGTTTTAGAGCTGAGGGAAGAGCAGCTCCAAGGCGTGGACAGGAACTAGACAAGGTGAATGACTGGTATTTGGCAGAATCAGAATCCACATCCCCTGACACTCACCCTGATCATGGCCACTCACCCGAGCTTGCAGCCTCTCAGGTAGGACACTAAACAGGGCCATGAAGTGAGGCCCTTAGGACCACAGGACTGACTCATGGTTCCCTTGAGTTGGATAATGAGCACATATCTCAAAGGCAAAAAGTTCACCCGCATACTCTTGTGTGCACTATGATGCGTAAAACCAGAAGCACCTGAAAGCGATACGGCCAAACACTAACAAAGCTTGTGGTATCAGAAGCAGCAGACGGGGTGGGGCGCCTGAGTGGCTCAGTCAGGCAAGCTTCGACTTGGGCTCGGGTCATGACTTCGTGGTTCGTGAGTGCAAGCCCCGCAGCAGGCTCACTGCTCTCAGCGCAGAGCCCACTTCTCGGATGCTGTGTCCCTCTCTCACTGCCCGTCCCCTCCACTCAAAGCAGCAGGGACTATGACAGCAGCAGGATCACAGAGGAGGAATGTGAGGCACGGAAATCGGGGCAGGGCAGCATGGGGGGGGAGCACAGGAAGACTGGCCCAGAGCCATACTGTGTTCCCTCCACCCCAAGCTCCTGGGTGATGTCTTCCTTCGTCGTCTTCACAAGTGGTTTCCCGCACTTGTGTCATGGTTATCAGGAAAGATGCAAAGAAAACTCTGCTTGTCCTTTCCCCAAAGCTCATCATCTCTTCACCTTGCTAAAGAGCCGCTTCCAACATTACTTTTCTCCCCATCAGTCATTTGTAATCCCACCTCCCCTTGTTGTATGGAAAACTCTTGGTTAAGGAAACGGCAACAGTTCGGGCTCAGAGTCGTCAGGATTCCTTCCAATCGCCCCGCTGCACACATGCCCCTAACTCAGGATTCCTCCCGCCATGGCAGCCCCCTCTGAATGAACAGGCAGCTGGCCTCCCCATTCCAGGCTGACTGTGGGGGAGGGCCAGCTCCACACACTGGCTTGGGCGGTCACCGGGGCTGTGGTCTCCCCCGCTCACCCTCATTCTCACCGGGCCACTTGACTCCTGGCCCAGGCCTGGCCCTGCTGGCCATCCTGCATCCTTGAAGGTTCCCCAGCTCAGGGAGAGACACAGGAGGGAGCACAGATTGTCTGATGGGCCTTGAAATGCCCTCTACCTCGCCACAGGGTGTCAATGGCTACCGAGGACTCAGGAAGCAGAGCCTGTGCCCAGGAAGCACGGCTTCCCTCTCATCAGGGGAGTCACTGTCTGGACGGCATCGCTCGTGGATACCGCAGTTTCAGGGAAAGCAGACCCATCTTCTAGCTCCTTGCAAGCTGGCCGTGTCCCCTGATCCCCACCCGCGCCCCGTGTGCGCCATCAGCAAGTTTCCCCAGCGAGCCAGCTCGCTGCTTTGCCAATGGAACCTCAGAGAAGTGTGACGTGATGGAGTTCATTAGTCCGAGACACGAAGGCCAACAGTGATGCAGGATGTCACACACACACACACACACACACACACACACACACACACACACAAAGCCAATTCCTGTCTCCAGGAATACAGACAGTCATCACTTTGGTGACCCTGACCTTGTAGGACTTACTGTATTTCTGCAGCTGGTTGGCCAGGGAGTAGGCAGTAGCTTCGGATACAAGGAATTTCTCTCTGAGGTCTCGGAAGTCCTGCTGGCTTGCTTCCAGCTTGGATTGAAGCTCCTGGTTGAGTTCCAGGAGGCTCATTTCTGTCCCTGGATCAGACACCGGGTCAAAAGGTGCTGCCATGGTGACATGTGGCAGAAGAGGTAGAGCTGGGGACTGGGGAGAAGAAATCAAACACATGACGGGTTAAAAACAAGTGAAATCAAGTAGGTTCAATCAGGACTGAGGGGCGAGGATACAGGAATTCTTTACTTACTATTGGGAACAGCTTGAACAACACCCCACAGCACTGGAGAGTCAGCAGCTACAAAAAGAAGGTTCGAGATGCCAGAGTCGAGAGCCCAAGGCACTGCCTGTAGCTCAGACTCCAACCGGAATGACAGACCGAGCACCCGGCACGCCAGGTGACGGTCTGCAGTTGCAATAACAGAATCGGAACGCGGGGGGTGTCATGGAACCTTGGGAGCCACTGCCTTCCAGGTGCTAAGGCTACGCGGATACCCAAGGCGGCCTAGTCTCCCCTGAAGGTCACCACTGATGGGACCACCCCTCAGCGGCCACTCTCAGTAGTTGTCTACCCTTGTGCTAATACCACAGATCCCATCTCTCTCTCTGTCTGTCTCTGTTTTAAGTTTATTTATTTATTTTGAGAGAAAGCACGAGCACGTGAGCGGGACGGGGTGGAGGGAGAGGGAGAGAGAGAGAATCCCAAGCAGACTCTGTGCTATCTGCACAGTACCGTACAGGAGGCTTGATCTCATGAACCGTGAGATCATGACCCGAGCCAAAATCAAGAATCAGACACTCAACCCGATGAGCCACCCAGGTGCCACAGACCCCATCTCTTTCCAAACACATCTCAGCATCGTTCTCACTGTTCATTCTTGTGTGTGCATAAAAACATCAAGGCAGAAATAGTTTCCCGGGTTTTACTAAAGGGCTGTCATGAAGCCACCCCACTTCTCTTTAAGGTCAAACAGACCTTCAGGCTTTTCCAGTGACTGAAAGATTCCAAAGTCTTAGACTGTCATGATGTTCTTCTCGGGGTCTCTCTAGTTTGTCCTCTATCCATTAAAAAGTGTAAGACATGAGGCAGAGCATAATACTAAGTGAATAAATATTTACTTGAGAAAAAGGTTTTGTCCCAACTCTCACTGTTCTTCTGGCTGTTTTCCTGTGTTATGAGGCTGCCTTATCCCCTCTTGGGGCACCATGTTGGCTTTCCATTAAACTGATGTTGGATATCCCTATATCCTCGACTCCTTCTCTACGTGTGAGGTGCTTTTTTTGTTGTTTTTATAATGTCACTAAACAACCATATTTCATGCTTGTCACTTACGGATTTCATGCGTCTCTCACAAGATCTCTTTCGAACTGTGAAAATGTCAATTTATACGTATGTCCTTGAATACATGTAATGACCACCTATTTGGAAACATCTATAAACTTGATGATTTGATTACGTTCATTTGGCCTACCCTCATATTTAACAGAACGGAGGTTAACAAACCCTCAGTTTGCTCTCTATACTTAAGAGTCTGTTTCATGGTTTGCCTCTCTCTTTACCAACCCCCCATTGTTCATCTATTGAGTGTCTTAAATTCCACAGATGAGTGACATCATATGATATGTGTCCTTCTCTGGCTGACTGACTTCACTTAGCATAACACACTCTCGCTCCATCCACGTCACTGCTAGAACGGATACACGAATTCAGTAAAGTCCCAGGACACAAAATCAACATACAGAAATCTCTTGCGTTCCCACACATCAATAATGAAGCAGCAGAAAGAGAAATCGAGGAGCTGAAACCATGTACAATTGCACCTAAAACCGTAAGATACTTAGGAATGAACCCAACCAAAGACGTAAAAGATCTGCACTCTGAAAACTAGAGAACCCTTACGAAAGACACTGAAGAGGGCAGAAGGAAATGGAAAAACTTCCCGTGCCCATGGATTAGAAGAACAGATATCGTTAAAATGTTGATGCTAACCAAAGCAATCCACACACTGACTGCAATCCCTATCAAAATACCACCAACCTTTTCCACAGAGCTACAACAAGCAATCCTCAACTTTGTATGGAACCAGAAAAGACCCCAAAGAGCCAAAGGAATCTTGGATGACCCGAAAGCCAACCTTGTACCCCATATCAAAGCGACTGACAGTACTTTTGCTGGAATACGTCTCAGTGTTTATTGCTCTAGAGTGCCTTTCCTAAGGCAGCAACATGCCATTCTAATCTTATTTGAACTTGTCATTCTCACTATCCTGTTTTTCATGAAATTATACTTTTTAGTGTTTGTTCTGTTGAATCGCTTTGGGTTTCTCCTCAAGACATTCTTATTGTGATGTGCATGTTCAATATTTGTAACCTATTTCCTGTCATTTGTCATTCTCTTTTCGGCTCGGTCATCTCTCTCTTTTTCAATTCTAACAGTTCTTTATTGGGGTCGAATTGACCTAGAGCAAAATGCACAAACCGCAAGCACACAGCTCAATGAATTTAACGTACGTATGCATCCTGTCACCACCCAGATCGAGATATAGAACACTTTCCTCCGTGGCGCAAAGTTCTCTTCTGCTCCTTGCCAGTCAATACCCATTTCCAAACACAAACGCATTCTGAATTCTCACCCTAGACGACTTTTCCTTGTTCTTACACTTCATATAACTGCAATGATGTCGTATGTTCTCCTATGTTCTGTGTTCTCTCACTTGGTGTCTGGTTTTGAGATTTCGTCCTGATTAGCTGCGTGTCAGCCATTGGTTCTGATGCTGCCGAGAAATACTCTGCTTGGGGATTATAGCACAATTGGACTATCCGTGTTCCTGTTGGACAGCTCTAGTTTTGGTTATCACACATAGAGTAAGGACGAATAATCATGTACAAATTGTGCTTTGTGGAGACACCCACCGGTTCCTCCCAGGTATACATCCTAGGAATAAAATGCTTGGG